GATGATTGCAAAACAGATTACTAAAATAGCAGATATATTAGAAATATGTAACATATTCTTTAAAAACGTAATCATTCACAGTGCAAGAAACTCAAAAGAAATCTCTAGTAGAATTATACAAGAGGATGAAATTACAGTTAGTAAAACAACATACATATTGGAAGAAGAAGTGAAGAAAAATAATATTTACTGATGAAAAAAAATTTAATTTGGATGGACCTAAAGGATAGAATTATTACTATCATTGATTTTTGAAAGAAAACAATATCTTTGAACTATCGTCAGATGACAGAGGAGTTATAGTATGAACCAGTGTTAACTTCCATGGAAAAACAAATATAAGTTTTATGAACAATAAAATGAAGAGTATAAAATATCTAAAACTAATAAGTGAGAAAATTGCAGCATATGTAACAAGAATTTCCGGGGAAAAATTCATAGTTAGTGAACAATACAGCGAACAGTTTATACTACAAAAGTCGTAAAAACATTTTTTTATACCAAATAATATTCAAATTTTAAAATGGCCAGTTCATTTCCCTGATATAAATATTATTGAAAATTGCTGAGAAGATCTTGCTAAAGCTTTTTATGTTAAAGGAAGACAGTTCAATAGCAGCAAAACGTGGTATATCAAATTCTTTAAAAAATAAAACATTGCAAAGTAAAGAAATATGTCGCAGAAGAAAAGGAGAAATTATGATACAGGTATGGAGAAGTGCAAAAAACCGGAATATTTAAATGATCTCAACAATCCGTATTGCAAAATTGATAGATATATTACAAAGCTGTAAAAATTTTTAACCACAGGCAATAGAAATGTCAAAAGAAGATGTCATGTTTGTTACTTTCAGAACATACATCGAGAAACTTTTTATGTGTATATATTCATCTTAACAAAGATAATTGCATATACTTCGAATCAATGCTCCCTCATTATGATAAATATGAGTTAAATCGGAATTAGATGTGTGAAGTTTATAAAGGTGATTGCTTAACAAAACGCACGTATCAGAATTGATTTAAAAAATTTCTTTTTAGGGATTTTTCATTGAAAGATGACCAACATTCTGATCGACCTACTAAAATTAATGATGACCAGACCAAAGCCATAACTGAATCGGATCATGATATAATTGCATGATTGATTAAAAAGAGGTTAAATGTATCACACATAAAAATAGAAAATCACTTAAAATGTCTCGGACTCGTTAAAAAGTTCAATATTCGAGCTCCGCATAAATTTAAAAAAATTCACTTAACTCGACGAATAAATATTTGCGATATGCATTTAAAATGTAATGAAATCATCCCTATTTTGAAAGAAATATCAATGATAATGAAAAATGGATAACATAAATCAAAAACGATCACAAAACGGTTCAAACGTGATGAAGTAGCACAAACCACATCGAAAGCTGAATTGCATCAAAAAAATTCAATTCAGATTTTACTGTTAACAAATAATAAAATTGGAGAAAGCAATCAAAGAAAACGCAAGGAAATCGTGTTCCACCAAAACAATACAAGGCCTCGTTGGTAACTCATAGAAAATTATTAAGCGATGTCGTATACCCCATATAGTCCTGACGTTTACAAAACTCTTTGAATGATAAAACTTTCATTGATGATGATAACTTGCAATCGCACTTTCGATTTATAAAATTTTATTGAGAACCATGACATATCATTTTCCGCCTGTTTAATAATTCTCTTTTATTTCCACGGATAGTTCCAATGACTGTGGTTTTTTATCTAGTAATTTTACAGCTAGTAATGTGTTCATAAAAATTATCAGTGATAACGATCCTTCCACATCCTGTAAACGGTTCATTCAATAGGTTTCAACAATATTGGATAAATCTTGCTTGTACTTGTCACCATATAATTCGGAAACGAATTATACTCAGATGCTTATGACGTTCGATTATGACTGGAGTAACTACTACAAACAAAAATGTATCAGTTTTGAATATCCCGTCATTAAATGCACTGCATTACGTTACGATTATCGATATCAGTCAAAATATTTTCCAACAAACAAGTATAATAATATACAACAATAAATCATTCCACGAATCAAATGACCCATCGAGATAGATAAATCAAAAATGCATATATTTCTTGATAAAAAGAAAACAAAAAATAAATTAATATTGAAATTTACATTAAATGTAAATTATAAGTCGTAAAATCAAATGGCGATGTGATAACTGTGCAGTTAAGAAATTCTGCCAGAAAGTTTAAAAAGAATCATTTGACCCATCATAATAGGTTTAATGTAAACTTTTACTCTTTCGCCGCAAATTTTGAAGGGCGCCATTATACGAAACTTCTTCTTCATGAAAAATATCGAAAACAGCATTTACACCAACAATGAGTCCAGACGTTGACCTATTTTAATGAACAAAATTTCATTTTAAAGATGAAAGATTAAGTAAGAACTTCACTTTCTGGAATTTTTAGAAAAGCTTTATTTTTATGTGTAAATTATTCTCGAAAAAATATTTTTGAATCATCGGCAGTAATACACTATAACAAAAATATACTATGTTAAAATGTGAGTTTGCTCTAAACTATCATATCGATCGGTCGTGTTTATGCTTCGTAATCTCATTTACTTGTGTATCAATAGAAGTGATATCCATATTTATAACAAATAAGTGTAACGGTCTTAATCCTTATTAATAAGGAATCGCCTAACAGCGAATTTGAGAGTCCTTATCCTGATGAAACAAACTATGACTACCAACTCTAACTAAAGAAAACAATTAACGATTTAACAATGGAATATGAAATTAATGATACAGACATCTCATATGTCTTAGCTAAAGTAGAAGATAAAATAAAGAATGGAATACTAGAGAATGAATTAAAAAAAAATAACCGAAAACTAATCTGTAAATGTCTATCCCAACATCAGGATTAAAAACTAAATTAGTAGAAGTACAATTCAAATCAAAGTGGCTTGGTGACCTCCAAATAGTGCTGCAGAATCTATATTCAGGGACAGAAAACGATGCAACTATTCATATACTTATGTGGAATGGTAGATTCTAACGTTAGTTAGTTGTGTGTGTGTGTGTGTGTGAAATAAGTCAATTGATAGTTGAACAAAAATATGGAAGATTCTAGCATTAGTTGTATGTGTGTATGCATCAGATAAGTTGATCCATAGTCAAACGAAAATATAATCTGCTCTTTCTGAGATGCGTTTGTTTATAAGGGAAAGAGAAAGATCTGAGATATTGGGAATGGAAATCTAACGTTAATGAGATAAGTAACAAATAGAACAACGTAAAATAAAACGAATGGAGGCCTTGAGTAGACCAAGTAATGAATAAAAACAACTGTGATCTTAAGTTAGATCTAAGAGTACAAAGTAAAGAGAAAAGAGTTGTACCATTATAATATATTAATTAATAGAATCCTTATTAACCATAAGAGTAAGTGATTCTAATTTCGTATCTGTATCTTTTATGTAAGGTTACAAAAAATATCCTACATATGTTAAGTACTCATGTTGATCACCTCGGACTACTCCCGTCAACAAGAAAGAGTTTACTACTATACTTTTAGAGTTTACTACTATATTTTTATAATAGTAGATGGCTTTTCAAAATTCACGTGACTATACTCAATGAGAACTATCTCGGCGAGCGAATTCATTGAACGTCTTAAAAGACAGGCACCCGTTTTCGAAAACCCACGACGTATAGTATCGAACTAAGAAAAGTATAATATTGTCCTTCATCAATGATCATGATAACTAAGCAAATTCGAACTCTGGTAGTTAAGGGTCGGTAAAAGAAACTCTAACTAAAAATTTTCAATAATAGAAAATCAAAAATTAATGGAAAAACAATTTACTGTGTACATACCCCAAATTTTACAAACTTCAACTTTACATGAACACAACTTAACAACTGACATAACGCGGACTATTCTGACAGTTGACATATAAAGATACATATCTCAACTACGGATAAATGGTGGCACACGTCCTATTTGCAAACATTTATTTGTTTTAAATTGAGTTCAAATTTGGTCTGGGATGTCCTATACCGCAAGTACAAAACTAGATAACAAATACTTTGTTTTAAACTTTATCTTTGATTTATTGCTTTTTTTCCACCTGCATACTTTGTTATGTTCAAAATAAATATGATAATAAATATAATAAACTAAAATATTAAAGGATTTTGAATGTTTCTGGAATTTTTTGAGTCGAAACTTATTAGTAAACTAAAAAACCTTCTTTTTATCTAAATACATCATTACTTTATCTGTTAGGTTTAGCGAGTTATCTACATAAATAGGGAAATGTTTGAGGTGTATACTTTATTTTGTCCAGTACTATATGTGAAAATTGTACAAAAGTTTGTAAACAGTCAATTTGACGGGTATTTAGTCTTAAGCAGTTGAGAGATAAACAAGTTAAATTACAAGTATGCTCCACTGATGCTTACAGTACAATAATTAAAACTTTTAAAAGTAATGATGCAGACTACTATACTTTTCAACCAAAAACGGAAAAGAAATTCAGTGGTAATAAAAGGATTGTATCCTAAATTAAATATTGAGTACATTAAAACTGACTTGCAGGAAAAAGGTCATTTAGAAACATAATCAATTTTGCTAAAATCAGCACATCCGTTATCAATGTTTCTAGTATAAATTGAGCAAGCTGGTAATAACGAAGATATATACAACATATCAGCTATATGTAATAGCTAATAAATATTAGCTATATGTAATAGCTAATAAATTAACAGGTTGAATGCCACGAGGGTCACCGGTGACCGGCACTTAACTTGGCTGTGACGCCATGAGGGCCACTGGTGACCGGCGTGCCCAGATTAAAAAAAAATAAAAAATTTAGACAAATGACAATACTTATAATTTTTTATTATTATCATCGTTGATGTAGTGGTGTAAAGAAATGAATGCAGTATAAAACATCTGAAAATAGTTTTATTTATACATGTAATATAGTTTTATTATGTGCGTACGTTACGATGTGTCGTATTGAAACATTCTAAACAAAGAAAGGATGAACCAGCACAGTCTTTACAATATGTCACGACTTTTTTGCTACAGTTTTTTGCAATTATTCTTCCGAGCTTCTTTGAATTTTTTTGGTAACAAATTTTGCAAAATCTTCGCACCATTCGAGCTTTTCCCGACATTGCTTTTAATTTATGTCGTGGTTTTCTCAGCAAGCTTTCACGTGGAGAAATGGAAACTTCAGCATCATTATCACATTTTGTTAAATACAATGCAACTTTCATTCTGAAGTCGGAAATTTGAATATCTCTTTTTGTTACTTTTTTGAATAATATCATTGAATTTACCATACATGTATTCAATAACAGTTTCATTGCTAATTTTCTATACCACTTTAAAGTTTTGCGTAGTGGTGAATTATAAGTTATCATTTCTGATAAATCGACTGATGATTTTCCTAGATTATATTCCACAACCATTTTTGGATTTTCACACGAATAAAATTTCTTATGTACAGTAGTCATTTCTGCCGAATGTTTCGTTGGAAGCATCAATACGTCTCTTTTATCTTTCCATTTTAAAATTGTTATTTCGGATTTATTTTCGCGAGCAATGAGTTCTCCACGTTTTAATTTTTTGGATACTACTTCTACTGAATTTCCACGTCGATTTTTCCGTAATGTACCCATTAAATGTGTATTCTTTGCTATTAACTTTTCTGCCAGATCAACACTCGTATACCAGTTGTCTGTGCAGACAGTATGCTCTTTACCCAATATATCTTTGCAAAAAGACATTACAATCTCGGACGATACGGTTCCTGCTGTTTTATCTCTATTTTTTTCTTTTCCCGAGTATACTTGAAAAGAATAAGTATATCCTGTACCACAGCATAATTTAAAAACTTTAATTCCATATCGATGCCGTTCAGTTTCAAATATTGTCGAAATATTATGCGGCCTTGGAAAGGGACCAATGATTCGTCTACGCATAATATTTCATCTGGATTATAGTATTCTTTAAAACTTCTGTTTAATATGTCGATAATGTGAATAATTTTGAATAATCTATTACTAGGATCGTTTTCTTCATTGTTACTAAAATGAATGAATCGTAAAAGTAATTCAAATCGATTTCTCGGCATCACTGTATTTGGGAATGTCTGGTGATATTCTTCATTTCTACTCCAATACAGGTGAATTTTGGATAATCGTACTAATCCCATCCATATAATTAAGTCAAAAAATCTTTTTATTTCATTCGGATTTGTTTCAATCCATCTATCAAGATGACATGATCGCTGTTCTGATACTATTTTCGCAGCATATTTCTTTGTTTGGTTTGCAATTATTTCAAATATTTCATTCGAAACAAAAAGACAATAAAAACTATGCGGTTCGATAAATTCAAAAATTTCAGAATGATGTGTATTGATCCCCGATGAATTAGAAAATATAATCTTTGGTTGATTACACGAAGGTATATGCCAATTTAAATCACGTACTTCTTCTTGTGTATTATTTTCGTCATTATTACCGTCATCTTCAAATTCGCTTTCACTATATGATTCAATTCGATGGCGACCTACTGAATATGGTATTATCATATCAGACGAACTACTCGAAGAACTTTCCTCACTATCTGACAACACTCGGCATCGTTTGGAAAGATTTGGTAAAAATATATCATCAGTTGAATTGCTTGACGCAGAATCTTCATTTGAAATCATAACTTTATGGGCTAACTAAAAAATTAAATAGGAGATACGAAATGCAAAAATTTTTGTAGTATATAAAAGTATAATAGAGGTTCTTACCTGATTGTTTAACACTCTAGAAAATAATAAAATCGTGACACTATTACTCAACAACGCGAAAAAGCAATATGAGATAATTAACGATCGCGCGAAATCGTACTCCAGCGCCACAGGGGTCACTAGTAAACCTCCACCGCAATTAATTATGCTAAACATGTTTATACGCTGTAATTTATCTATTGCAGATAATATTTCAACATTATATGTATCGCTAAATAGAAAATTCATCGTGGCGCCACGAACAATCCCGGCAAAATTGGCATGGCATTCCACCTGTTAATTAAAATTAAACTACCGAGATTAAACAGAAACATTCCACATTGTGCCAGATGTCAAAGATCTGGGTATACTAAAAAGTACTGCAATAAAGAACCTAAATGTGTCAAATATGCAGGAACCCATTTTTCTGCTAACTGCTCAAACAGCATTAACAATAATCCAGGCAATTATAGACACTACATTGTAAGAAAACAACTCCAAAAAAGTTGTTGCCTTCAATTAGAGACAGAAATACACAAAGCAAATACACTCTACAAAAAAGTACAGCTATTCAAAATACAATGAACACGTTGACTTCTGTGGGGGTCATCGGTGACCGGCACTCGACTTGGCTACAGCGCCGTGAGGACCACATGTGACCGACGACGTGACGAATAGTGAAAATACATAATTAGGGTAAACATCGATCCAATAAATTTTTTAAATAATACCATTGATTCCGTAGTGATTTAAAGAAATTAATGCCGTACAGAACATGTAATTATAATTTTATTAATACAAGGAAAATATACATATTATTTGTGCACATAACGATGAGTCACATTGAAACACAGTAGACAAAGAAAAGGTGAACTAGGACAGTCGGCACAATATGTCGCCACTTTTTTAGTGCAATTCTTTGCTCTTATTCTAACTAGCTGTTTTGAATTTTTTTCGTAGCACTCTTTGCAAAATCGTCTTACATTTCGCATACTTCCCGGTTCCCTTTCAAGTTCATGACGACGTTTTTTCTGTACGCAATTTCTTGATGAATTGGAATCTTTATCATCAAAACATTTCACTAAATACATCGCTAACTTCATTCTAAAATCGGTGACTGAAATATTTTTTCGAGTTGCTTGTTTGTATAACACCATTGAATTTACAACACAAGTATTCAGCAAAAGCTCTATTGCCAATTTTCTGTACCACTTTAGAGTTTTTCGCAATGGTGAACTATAAGCAGTTGTTTGATCAGACAAATCAACTGAAGATTTCCCTAAATTATAATCTACTACCATTTTTGGCTTCTCATACGAGCAAAATGATCTACAGCGCCTTGGGAGTCACCCAAGAATGCAAGAAAATTGCATAAGACACGTTTATACAACTCATTTTGTCTGCTGTAAATAATATTTGAACATAATATGCATCGCATACTAAAAAATTTATGTTGGCGCCTTGCGCAAGTCACGTAAAATTCGCACGGCAGTCAACGTGTTAAATTCAAGCGCAGACATCAACAAGCTACAAATCATACCCAGAGCTAACAAAATAAAATAATATTCGAACAGAAGATTCAAATGAAGATAATCAAACAATCTTGTTAAATTGGAAAATGACAATAATATTAAATCTAATAACAAAACTAATTATGCTTCAAAAATCAAATAAAATTATAATAATGGAATAGAATTTGTAACGAATTACAAAATAGACTACCCTAGCTAAAAATAATTCTAAATTAACTAGACATAGACATTGTTGTAATATCAGAAAAACATGAAACAGAAAAATCACATATAAAGATTGCATATTACATCTATTATAATACTCAACAACCGAGCAACAAGACACGTGCTAGTTCGGGAATATTGATCAAACGCAAATAAATAAGAATAAAACAATCAATCCCAAAGGTAATAAGCTTTTCCAATATATAACAAAAAACTACCAAAGAGTTTACTCATCGGAAAAGACCAATGTATTGGTTAACTGATTTAAACAAGACTCCAGATACTCTAGATATCCTTATCACTAATACAAAATTAAACAAACAAGCGAAAGAACTACTTCAGCTAACTTCTGATCACATAATCTTAATCTTTAAAATCGACTAAAGAGCATTAAAAAATGTAAAAATGGCCGAATAGTACTATTAACTCGATAGCATATAGGGATTATATAAACAAAGACTAGAATGCAACATTCTACTAAAAAATATACAAGATATAGAAATAGCATCAGAAATGTTAACTATTACATTTCAAACTCCAGCATATATTACAACAAAACATATACTATAAAAGCAAAAAAAAAACAAAAATACCGACGGTATACATTCTGGACTTAATAAAAAATAGGAAAAGAGTGAGAAAACTATGACAAAGTACAAGGTGACCACAATACAAAACTATAATGAACAAACTCATTACCAAAATCAAACATGGAATTAATAAAACCAATTTCATGAACTATATTAAAAACGTGAACTTTTCTAGAAGAACAAATTATTTATTATGGAAATGTTCAACAAAAAACATCAAAAGGCCGCATATTACCATTCCACCTATACAAAGACAAGACTAGAACTGGATCTTTCAATAAAAGACCGAGCAGAAATCATGGCAGATTAATTGCAAAAAATATTTATAAATGAATCACATATTATACTTCATCTTACAACGGTAATAAAAAACAACTGACCCATAAAACAATTAAAATGAGTGAAGTTACATCTATAATCAAAAACCTGAAAATTAATAAACTTCCTGGATGCGGTCTCATAACAATGAAAATACTAAAAAAAACATCGACCAAGAGAATCAAATTTATAATCATTTTAACTAACGCTATCTTCCGAATTAATCATTTCCCACAGATCTGGAAATGTGCTGAAATAATCCTGCTACAAAAGCCAGGTAAAAATTCCTAATCACCGTCATCATATAGGCCGATAATTCTTCTTCCAGTTATTTCCAAATAAATAAATAAAAAACTATACATTAAAACTATACTTCCTAATGAAGAAAATTACCAACTTATTTCGAATTTAGAAAAAATTCGGATTTAGAAAAAATCACAACACAATGTGACAGATACATAGAATGATAAACAAAATAATTAGATCCATTGAAGAAGGCAGCTCTTGCACTGTATTATTCCTTAACGTGGAAAAAACTTTCGATAAAGTCTTGCATAAATGGTTATTAGAGAAATTACGAGCATTTCTGTCAAGAAATCTATATCAATTTGTATCTTTCTACATTTCAAACAGATATTTTTATGACGAAATCAGAAATGTGAATTCTCCGCTAAAAAAAATATACACCAGGGTACCTCAAGAAAGTGTCCTAGAATATATATTATTCTCTTTATTCACAGCATATTTTTCATCCATACCTCTCACAAAAATATATACTTTTACCGATGATATGGCTAACATATCCGTACATAAGAAAATACAAACTGCAATAAAAATTCTGCAAAACTACCTATATAAAATAGAAAATTGAGCCCAACAAAATTAAGATAAACATAAATGCTGGCACATAACATTTACGCTTAATAGGAAGAACCCTATTCCTAAAATTAAATTCCAAAATATTGAAATCCCACAAACTAACTGTTAAATAACTCGGTCTCCACTTAAACAGTAAAATAAACTGGAGGAAATATTCAGGAAAAAATGAAACGAATAAAAATACAAGAAGATCCGTGTACTGACTAACTTTAAAAAATTCCAAACTGAGTACAACCAAAAATATGTTAATATACAGTCATCTTGAAATTCTTTTGAACATACGACCTGGAAATCTAGGGCATGGTAGCCAAATACAACATTAAAAAAATAGAAAATCTACAATCTATTATTCTAAATTCACCTTAATTCGTTAGAAATGACAAAATAAGAAAAGCCTAAAAATACTATTAGTTGAAGAAAAAATTATAAATTTTTCGAAGACATATCAAATCAAGATTAATAATCATATAAATTGTCTTGCCAAAAATTGCTACTCAAGTCTGCCTAAAAGACTAAGAGGAAAACACCCCATAGACTTACTCGAAATCAATTCTTTATACACCATACGTACGCATAAAAGGTGCAACACTACTATGCATTATTTAGTGATTGCCGATAACTATATCGAAATCTGCACGACATTTAACAACATTATAGAAGGTGAAAATAATTGTATGTAGCAATTAGAAACACAAATAAATGAATATTAAAATGTTGAGATGTAAGAAAGTACATAAAAAAATATTTTTCATTTTATAGACATGATATTATGGAATAATTATATTTTTTTCAAAGAAGTTTATAAACAAAAATTAGTGGAGGAAGTCATATTTAATTTTATTATTTCTTTTTTCATTTTATTATTCATCATATTATTTCTTTTTCACTTTCGTGGTGATCTAATGCCAGACTGATTATCTTCAGATAAAATATCATTTTCTAACTGACTACTATATATATACACTGTCAGACACATATACATATAAACACAGTATTACTTAAATTTTCAGATACTTTATTATATAATCTGTATAACATATAATAGTTTTCATAGAGTAGAGAATTAGAAAATGTAATTTATATAATATTATTGTGTAGCTAGCAAGTTCTGATTATCTAAGGTAAAGATAATTCGAAATAATATAATTTACCGTGTTAGTCTGTCACAATTTAATAAACATATATTTACGAACATCGAATGTCACCAAAAACGGAGACTTTCTTATAATGTTATTATTCAATGTTTCATTTATATTGTGTATAGTAACAAATCGAAAGTGTAACATGAATAAAAGAAAAAATATAACGCCATATCATCGATTACAAGTACAATTGCTTCGAAAGCAAGATAATACTTATCAAAATATTTCTAGTCAACTTGGAATATCTATTAGTGCTTATTACAAAGCGATGAAGTAGTATATTAAAGATAATAAAACAGTAGAAAATGTTCTCCGAAAGCAAAATCCACAAAAAAACGGATACATACATATAAGTGATTCACCGAATCTCTAAAGGCAAATCGATTTAAAACTACTGTAGATATTCATATTGAATTATTGCTGTATTTAGAAAAACGAATAAGTGTAAGAATTGTGCAACGAAGCTTAATGAAAAGCTTAATATAAATTAAACGCTTAAATGAGTTTAATGT